AACTTTCACCTGATATCGCCAATTACGGGTATAATATTTACTTTGCCTCGGTCAATAGAAATGCATTACTTAAAAAAAACACAAGCCTTAAGTAATTAACTTCCAGAAGCGACTATTAACTTCCTGTATTGATTACTGCTCTTCGATAGTGTGGGCCTGCGGTAAAAAATTATCTGCTTCTTCGAATTTGATTCAAAACGTTTGAGAGTGGATGCTTATGCGCTAAATCACACCTGAAGTATACATATCGCATAAATCAAATGAGCTGAAGAACCATTCGGTCGGATGGGGGGGATGGGGGAGTTCGTAGGATATTGGTTGTGTCACGATAAAATTCACCGGTATCCCCCACAGGGCTCTGTAATATTGCTATGACCCTATGACCCCTCCCCCTCACGGGCAGTTAGTTGTCTGCCGTCTATCCTTTACACAGGTGTTGGCGATCACTGATCCTCCTCCGTTACCCTTGAAAACCACGTGATCCCACCAAAATCCGCCGCCCCGACCCGTCCCGCCCCGCCCTGCTCCGACCCGCCCGGCGTCGCGCCCCTTCCCACCCAGGCGATGAATAAGGACCGGTTGCTAATGAAGGTGCTTTTCTACAAAAAAAAATGAACGCAACTGACAAATCTAGAAAAGCAGCAACAGTTTAATGTTGACATGAAGGCGACAATGTCGATGGCGATAAGGAGAAGGTGGAGTAGGTCAGCAATGCTCACTTTATATACGTAGAAACGTTGACATTAATTGATATCACTGATACAAAACTGATGCCAACTGAAACTAGAAGCAAAACCGAGAGGCACAGATAATAAATGTTCTTTAAACTCCTTTTTTAAGTAGTTCATGCATTAAATTTGCAAAGAAGTAACTTGGAATATTTCCCATTGGCTATTTCAATTCCAATTCCTACTCTAATATCTAAGAGTAATAACTACGGTGTCCAATCCTCTGTTACTTTTCTTTTTGTTGTTATTATTTTAAGGTATCCGTTTTCGTATCCAGCAAACGAAGCACTAGCGCTAGTTCTATTGTTTAGTTTTCATATGTCTATGAAAACACTGTATCATATGAAAACGCAAACCTTTTGATGGGTATTTGCACATTGATTAATATGGAGGGACAGCATGTGGCGCTTTGTTGTCGCCATTCTGTCGTCGCTACACTAGAAACGAAGCGCTTTCAAGACGATGCGCATCACAGAAAGGATGTTTTTTACAGAGAAAAAAATTGTTAATGATGATAATGACGACGACGACGTGGATGATGATGTAGATTACGAGGAGATCACTGCCCCATTAATTCACAACTTGTCCATAGTTTTCCTCTCAAAGCTTCGAACAATCGAGATGTACATTAAAAACAAGCGGACTTTTAAGAATTACTTAGGCCAATATTTACTTAGAGACTCCCCATACCAAAGAAACCGTTTAATGCTAGATATTTGACGGATTTTTCGTTTGCAAGGACCGTTTACGTAATTTTTAAGAAGAATAAAATTATTCTCCTTATACTGCAGTATAGCAGGGAAAATTCGCGTCTGTGAAGAAGTCGCTTCGTTGCCCTATAAACACCCTCGCAATGACTGGTGACCTAATTATTACATATGTGTTATTGACCAAACCTAAGGTCAAGATAACTGGGTTTTGACCGAGTTTTTTTTTTGCGTTTTTATTGACCAAGACGACATTGAGTTCCATAAATAACGGAAGAGAACGAGTCTAATGTCAAGCCATGCTCGGTCAAAAAGGATTTATCATACAACAAAGAGATTTGACAAAGACACCTGTGTTTGTAGCACAGTAAACCCACGAGAGTTGTTTCTGCTTCGTTTTTTTTACTGTCTTCTACCTCTGAACTCAACTATAGACTCAGCTTCTCTTAGTTCTTCTTACACACTTCACTTTTGTCAGAGGCCACAACTAGAATCCCTTGGGGGTATGATAAATAATTCATAACCAAAATTAGAGCTTTTAACAAACAGTGAGGCTGTAATAAGTTACGAACTTAGAGAATCACTTGGATGCTCAAAGACTGACGGCACAGATACTCTAAAATTTGTCATATTAATCGGTATGGTAAAAATAAGAAGGGTTTGCTTGTTTCCAGTTTCCTTGTTTCCTTGTTTCCCAAGAATGAGCTGTTTATTTCGAGATCCAGGAAAGAAAGCTGTGGTTGTAGCACAATAAACCCACGAGAGGTTTTTATGTTGAGTTTTTATCGTTTCTTTCTACATCTGAACTCAGTTATAGACTCAGCTCCTTTTAATTCTGCTTATAAACTAAGCTATTGTCAGACGCCACAACTCGAATCCCTTGAGGGTATGATAAACAACTTCTGAACTTCTGGACTCAGTTATAGGCTCAGCTTCTTTTTATTCTTCTTTTAAACTTCGCTTTTGTCAGACGCTACAACTAGAATCCCTTGGGGGTATGATAAACCCAATTACCAAAATTAGAGCTTTTAACAAACGGCGAGGCTGTAATAAATCTCGAATTTAGAGAATCACTCGGATGTTCAAAAGCTGACGGCAGAAATACTCAAAAATTTTGGCGGCTTACTCAGTTTATTTTTCATATTAATCTTCGATCGGTATCATAAGGGTAACAATAAGAATAGTTTGTTTGTTCTGAGTTTAGGAATATCAATTTTCTGGCGTAGCTGCACAAATTTCTAAAATAGTCTTCGTATTATGCGTACGTGCATCATTTTATTTCCAACAGCCTTCATGGGAAAACTGATTTTAGTACTTGAATTCTCCGGTCTCCGCAATGCCTTGGCTTATAAGGAAACAGTTTAATAATTCATTTAGATAGGGCCATGGGTGCTTGTTTTTGAAACTTTCGTTTCAGTATTGCGAAAATAACCTATATTAAGTTTGTCTGTCAACAGTTCAGTTATGAAATTCCGTTCCACCACATCGCTCAATCTGCGACTACAAGGGATGGATCTGATTGTAACGATGACCGTAATATATATCTTGATAATTTGTGAAGGTATGGTTTCTAAAATTTGCTATTTTTGTCGTTTTGAACGAACTTATGTTTGATTCGAGTATGACTCTGTTATGTTATCGGACTTTGTAGTTTCAATGTTTGGTCCGTAAGCATCGATAAAGACTGTCTTGAAGTAGTTAAACACATTTTGATTATTCAGCACGACAGTTCAGTTCTAGATGAAAACGATAACACATTTGTTTTTTTAGATGAAAGTTTTTTGGAAATTGAGACCAATATTTGATACGCACCATGCACACGAAAGTCAAATTTCATGAGTCGCACTTTTTTTTTCTGCTTCTTTTTTCTTCCTTTATTTTCCTATTCTTCTTTTCTTGGCAAAACTGACTTTTACCGAGAACTCCTCTTTTTTGGCCTTTTCTCCCTTTTTTCAGATGTGGTTTCACGCGACTTCGAGTGTTTTTATTGTTGCAACGTCTCAGAAAACAGACGATCGAACTGAACGTTTGGGAGTCAAACGATGGAGATCAAAATAATGAAAAACGGGTTCCGTTTGTTATGAGCATTCAAACAGAATAGCTTTTTTTTTTCTATAACTAAATGCGCCGGAAAGGACCGAAATCGCCCAAAAATTCTTCACAGAAAGTCTGACCCGATTATCATCGCTATGATAACGAGCGAAGACTAAGATCTTAGTTAACACCCATGTATAACAGCTTGAAGCTTTAAATCATTCGCAAAAGTCAGCCACAAAACGGTCACTGCTAAATCGAACTACACTCACAAAGTAGACTTGCCTCAAAATGTTTTAGGAGGGTTTTAATGTGGTTAAATTTAGCCATTAAGTGTCAGAATTGACAAATTTTAACCTTAAGTCGTATAAAAAGTTAACCGTCGATTTGTTTTTCAATTAAAACAGAAAGAAACTAAACGTTAGCTGTAAAATGGCCAAAATTTTCATCGTCAGTTAGATGTCTTAATGTTATTGTGTCGGGTTTACCGTGTCATCGCGATTTACCCGAAAACAATGGGCAAGGCATAAACGAACAAGAAATATTGGGCAATCAAAGCTTAACTGCTGACAAGAAGCTTAAAACGAACGAGTTTCTTACATTTACCACGAGACCGTGAAGTAGATTCAGTACGTTTGAATTGTTGTTTATTAAAAATTCAAGGCCAGAAAATTGCGAGGCTTTGCGTTGAAACTTCTCAGAATTTTACGATTTAAATCAAAATCTTCTATTGAACAATACTTTTAGGACATTAAAACTTAAAATTAATATTTACCGTTCCAAAGAATTATCCCCTCGCCGCAAAGCCTCAATTAAAGTCAGAAGATGAATTTGTTCTTTTCCAGACATAATTGGCATCGCGTTTGGGAACGAAGTATCTTTAACTCCGAAGCAATTTTTTTTGCTTGAAAGATCCACATTCTTATTGTTTTTCGAAAAAATTATAGTAGATTAGCTATTTACTTTTCATTTGAGCTCCAAAACGTCTATATAAGTCGGGATGGAACAGTAAAACAATGTCCAAAGGATTGAAAACTGAAAGGGAACTTGCAGATGAATGAAATTGCACAGCACACGTCATGTTATGGATGTACGTGTTTACATAAGCATTTTTGACATGGAATTTCCCATTTTCTTCTCTCCAACTGGTGCATTCATGGCGACCTCTTTCATTTTTTTTTTTGGGTCCGAGGCGCTAGAAAATATATGCGAAGTTTCGGCATGCTAGTATTAGCTTGAGGCTCACATTTTTAGCCCAGTGAAACCATCAATTTATTTGCGGCATAGATTTATATCTGAATCTATACCTTTCAGTTCAGTTCATGATAGAATTGAGCAATGACTGGTCTGTAAATTAGTCATGCAAACCCGTCAACGTTTCTCAAAATCGTTAAACAGCATTGCACTTAATAACTTTGACCTAAATTATGGCATTTCTTCAACACAGAAATATATTTTTTGCACCATATATGAAGGGGAAGTTTTATTTGAACTTGAAATGTAAAATCGAATCTTGATTCGATTCCTTACAGGTGTTTTTCACAGCAACTTCGCGCCTAAAGAGTTTGCTTACCTCAACATCACAAGAATCGGCTCACAACTTGTCCGAAAGGATATCGAGTGTGGATTTGCCTGTTTGGAAATCACTTCATGTCTCCTCTTAAACCTGGCTGCATTTCCCGATGCCAATGGAAAACTGTCATGTGAACTGCTTCCATCGGACAAGTATAACAACTCAGACAAATTCATCTACAGCCCGATTTTCAACCATTTCAGTATCCCGGTAGGTGCAAATTCATTTGTTTCAGTTTTAGCAACTGACAAGGAAAAAAAAATGATTGTCAGAGGAATAGTGTGAACTAAATTTATAGCATTATTAGTGGCCAACAAAAGTCGAGAATACACATTCGGAAGTACCTTCATCATCCCATGTTCTCTAATTTTGTATCACCATAGTGTCCACCAATCACAGACCGTCGATTGATAGAGCTGTTTAATAAATAATGAGTCGTTGATATTGCTTCATGCAAATGACAGCTTATTCATTTTCAACAGAACCCTTGCTCCAGTGATCCTTGCATGAACGGTTCAACTTGTGTGGCCAAGTACATCGATGATGATTATCAGTGCGCATGCTCTCCAGGATTTAAAGGAACACAATGTCAAATAAAAATAGGTGTGTCGACGTAGCATGTTCGATTTATTACCATCCAACTATATCTTGCTCAGTGCTACATTTATTTCGATATCTATTGCGACTTGAGTGAGTTGTATGCTGATTTTTTTCCTTTCCCAAGCTCTGGGGAAAGACTGTAAAGACATTAAGATGCGAGGTGATTCTGGTGGAGATGGTATGTATCAATTGGACCCGGATGGAGGAAGCCTTTCAAATGCATTCTGGGCCTACTGTGATATGACGTCATACAATGGAGGTTGGACTATGTGTTACACTACCGATGAATACGTCAAACCCAGGACCGAGGTCACATACAATGCCTCTTTTCCTTATGGAACTGCCGACTACAGGACCAACTGCAACAACATCTCTGTAAGATGATTGACTAACCTCTTATCCCTATGAATACGGATCGCTTAGTATTCTCTCCTTATAATGCATTTTATATACTCGTATCTATTCGTTCACTGCACTGAAAATGGCTGCTGCACTGTGCCTTCCTAGCTAAAGAAAATACTAAAGCACATAAAACCTAGACAAAGGCTGTGAAAAAGGTCAGAATTTTACAACATGTAATACGCATTGTCTCTTTTTCAAGTTTACAGAGATTATGTTCTTGGATCATCAAACTTTGGCTAAAGTGTATTTCAAGCGAAGAACCAACCAGTCCACAACGGCCAATTTGAATTATGGGATCAATGCTTCTACTTATGGATTTTGGGACGGTGTGGGAGTGAGCGACGCCTACGACTATCAGCTACTGATTTGTGATACCTCATTCTACAGTGGCTTCTTCGTTTCTGGTTACGCGGATGATTGCTACAAGCGGTGTGATGACTGGTGTGGCGATTTTGTCTCCCCATACTTCCGTACTGCATCTAACGATGAGCATTACTCTGGTGTGGCCTTTAACATCAATGGCGCCCGAACACTCGATAAAAGGCTCATCAGTGTCGGTCTGCGCTGAGACATTTACGAATTGAGCTGCATGATTTCCTTCTTATGTGTGTCATATTTAAACCTGAGCATAACATACTAATCGTATCTAGGCTTGTTCCGATTGTGCACTGCAACTTCTGAGCAACTTTTTGTGGTCCAAACAACCTCGAACAATTTTTGCCTTATTGCGCAATTTTTGTGCAAAATAAGGCTTTAGAGCACATTTCAAGCACAAAAAAAGTCAACAGTTTTCAAAGAAAATTTTAATCTATGCAAATTTCTTAATGTTTATCAACACTTGAGAACTTTTCTCATGCCTGTTGCGATTCTTATCTGATATTGTAAGATGGCAAGACGTCAAATGAAATATGCATCTTGTTTTTTTAGGCATAAGAGTATCCTTAAATTTGGCCCATATTTGCGAGGAACTCATCACAGCTAAGTTTTAAGGTTTTTTTCTTGACGAATGTTTGCAATTATTGTGAAGAATGAAAGTAAAGATTTGGATTAACGTGTGAATAAGATATCAAGAAATTTAGGTAGCAACTTTTGGATGAATTTGTAATTTTTCAGCAACAACAATTTGGTATTTCAATGAGCAACTTTACAGAATTTTACGCGTGCAATCAAGATAGGCCTAGTCGTATCTCCAAATAGCCCTGCCCCATCAAGTAATAATAATGATAATAATGATAACAATAATAATAAGATACATATTTTTTAAGAGGAGGTCTCCATCACTCTAAGTGGTTTTCAGGGGCGTATGCCGAGTACATCTGAGGTAGGTGTGCTTTTGATGTCCTTGGCTCTATAATCTAATTATTATGACGTGGTGAACCAATCCTTCAGTACATCTGAGGTAGGTGTATTTCTGATGTCCTTGCCACTATAATCTAATTTCTATAACGTGGTGAACCAATCCTTCAGAGCAACTCTGGATTCTACGTATTTTGTCAATATATGAATATGTTGGTCTGCGAAATGTTAGAGAGTGAGGCATGTAGCATAATATTTATCCACTATATGAATTTAAGCATGTTCAGAAATGGCTTCTCCACATTGGTTTAGCTCGTAATGACAGCCAAACTTTAGGTAATCCTACGTTTAGGATGCATAAATTTGCGAATTAAAGGTCATGATGTCCATTATACGTGGTGGAGTCTGTGAGGCAATACAGTCAAGAAAGATGTAGTAGTAGGACTTTAATCAATTTACATGCTGATTTAGCAGAATCTGTGTCACAATACAGTAAAGGAAGATGAAGTAGTAGTAGTAGTTGAAGCAATTTACATGCTGATTTAGTAGAATCTGTGTCACAATACAGTAAAGGAAGATGTAGTAGTAGTAGTTGAAGCAATTTACATGCTGATTTAGTAGAATCTGTGTCACAATACAGTAGAGGAAAAAGCAGTTGTAGTAGCTGAAGTAATTTACATGCTGATTTAGTAGAATCTGTGTCACAATACAGTAGAGGAAGAAGTATAGTAGTAGTCGAAGTAATTTTCATGCTGATGTAGAAGAATCTGTGTCACTATAAAATAAAGGAAGTATTCGTAGTAGTAGTTGTGGAGGCAATCTACGTGTAACATCCCTCTGTCATTAACCAACCAAGGTAAAAAAAAAAGACAGAGGGCTTCATCTTAATATGACACCAGACTCTCTTGAGAGAATATTTCACAAGTATAATGTAAAGAGTGATTTCGGTATTGTTGTAATTTTATAAATGCAACATTTTGTAGGTAGTTGTCAATATATAATCCATTGGAAAAATAGGTAAGCAGGCGGAATGATTACGAACAACAAGATTTGTTCAGAAAGAAAGTAGAAGGATTATGTATTTTTAATTCTACGTTTACGTACATTCATTGGCTTAGCAAAGCAATAAACAGTGAAACCGAAGTAAACAGTTGATATTTTGTGTTGGCATCAAGCCTTTGTCTAAAGGGGAAAACTGAGATGACAGGTTACAAAAAAACAAAGTTGTAATTAGTTTGTTTACAGTTTTTTTTTTTAAAGCAACATCGCAATCTTCTATGAACAGTCTTGATTTTAACTTTTTGTACCTGCAGTAAATCGAAAACGAGTTCGTAAACATTCATTTGTATTATGAATATTTCGTTTAATTCAACTGATAATCACGCAGTTCCATTTGAAGGACGAAGTCGAAATTGCCAACCCGCGTAACGAGAGGTTATTTAATTCTTGTCTTAAGTCATTCTCTTATTGGCTCCCGCGGTCAGTGTCGTTGTCAGGTGCAGATATTCAAGTCAATATGTAATTGGCTTCCCAGGGTGAGAGATATTCAAGTCAAAATAATAATAATATTAAAATAATATTAAAATTTATAGGGTGAAAAAAAATGTTGTTTTTTACAAGTTTTACGAATTTTTAAGGAACGGTGACTGTTATGTTTAGCTTTAAAAATATTTACTGTTCTTGCGCTCCTAATATCCAGCGGTAGTTCGTTCCATAGTTTCGAGCGTTGCCATGGAGAGCCTTGAATCAAACCAGGAACCAAGATTTCTCGCAATTGGCACGGGATGTATGTCTGAGTCGCCCACACGTATACTGATATTGTCGAGCTTTCCCAGCTGTTGTGATGTGCCAATGATAAGGAATTCAGTCTTGTCGTCATTTAATTTAAGATCATTATTCAACATCCAAAGACGAATGTCTCTGATGCAGTCCTCCATACTCCTCACTACAGCAAGTTGCTCAGCTCTGTCGTTGGGACTGAATGAGATGTAAACTTGAGAGTCGTCAGCGTAACAATGAATCGTGGGCAAATGATATTCAATGATCTCAAAAGCTTGCTCGTATACAACGAAAACAATAACGGACCCAGACAGGAACCTTGAGGCACACCGCATTCTAATTTAAAAGGTTCCGACAGCGAATCGTTAATCATTATCCGTTGAGTTCTACCAGACAAATAGGACGTAAACCAGGAGAGGGCTTTCCCATGTATACCAAATGATGACTCAAGTCGACGTAGCATGGTGTCGTGATCAACTGTGTCGAAGGCAGCACTTAAATCGAGCAGAATAAGCAGAGTAACACGTTGACTGTTCATGTTAAGGAGAATATCATTCATAACCTTAAGGAGTGCAGTTTCTGTGCTGTGGTTCTGTCGATAGGCGGATTGAAACACTGGGAACAGATTGTTGCCATTCAGATAATGCTGTAGCTGCTTGGCAACAACAGTCTCAACCAGCTTTGAGATAAATGCCAAATTACTCACGGGTCTGTAGTTCTTAAAAACAAGAGGTAATCCATCCTTCTTCAACAGCGGCCTTACTAGAGCACTTTTCCAGGTGCGTGGAAAATAACCAGAATCAAGCGAAAGATTTATTATTTTCGTGATCGGAGGTAGTAGCACATCGGCGAAGTCCGTAAGAAGTTTGGTTGGAATAGGATCAAGAAGACAAGATTTCTTTGATGAAGCTTTGATTAAATCAAAAACCTCTGATTCGGACAGGAGAGTAAATTCTGAAAAACAGGAAGCAGTCACAGTACTGGCAGCGTCGATGGTGACAGGAAGGCGGCTCTGGTTTGCAATAACAGACTTGATATCAGCAATTTTTGAGCAAAGAATTTTCCAAAATCATTAGCCAACTTTTTGAGACAAATTTGAAATTTTCCAAAAACCTTCTCATTAGAAGTTTGTATAGTATGCCAACGAGCCTGTTATAAAAAACATCACCGATTTCTCATTCGACAGGATAGTAAATCGATGTGCCAGGACCATTTGACGTTTAAAATTTCATCATTCATCCATGGAACACGAGGGTAACATTCTTTTGCTTAACAGGAGCGTGCCGATCCAAAACGCAATAAATAAGGCCCAGCTCGTCAGGATCTTCAGTCCGTTTGAAGAAGTGCTGTTACAGATTTCATCCGTTTGATCGCAAGTTTGAGATGCATTTTTCGAACTCCGAAAATAGAATGTCAGGCGCTAGAACAATGTCAACAAAAGATGTGTTACTGGTTGTTGGTGACATTGAAAATAAAATCAGTTAACCACTAAGAAGTTTTAGTGCAATCGCACGTTTTCTTTAATTTTTTATCTTTCACTTTTTAACTCGTGAATTGCGCGCATGCGCAAGAGCGAGTTGTAGATACGATGTGGGGAATGGCACTCGCTCGTTCGCTCGTTCGCTCGCTCGCTCGATTGGTCGATTCCTGTAAACTTTTTTTCGATTTTAGGCTTTTGAGTGCATTTGATAGTTTTTGGCGAGCAATAAACAAACGAAATGGCGACCTTTGTTGTTAAGAATAGTGGTGGGGTGACAAAGAAGCCAATGATAATCTTAAAAGAGTTTTTTTTTTCGTTTTAGTTTCAACAAGCGGCGCCAGCGACTGGCAGGCATGCAAGGATTCACACTGAAATAACAGAACAACTTTCGTTTTTCATAAAATTGTAATTTAAAATCCTTGAACTTGAAAATAATCCGAAGATTCATTGAAAATATCCTTTACTGCGAAGCGCTCGGAGTTTACAGATGTTCAAAAGCTTTTTCTGCCACGGCGTGAGATTGAGGACAAAATCGATCTTTACGCTTCGTATCGTGTGTTTTTCCTGTGTGAAACAACGGAAGATGCCGGCGACTAACGAAATTACAAGTTAACACGAAAATCAAATAACACCTAAACAAACAATTTTAGCTGCCGATTTTCAGTGAATTTTTAAAGAACAATTTTCTTTTAAGTTTCAAGACAATTTGAAGATTCAAAATACATATTACGTACAAAAATGCTAAAGTTATACACCACAAAATTGATAAATAGGCCTGAAATGAAATTCTATCTTGTTATTGATTCAGTACGTTGCCTAGCACGTGACTAAAATCTACCCAAGCGGAGATCCAAAATGACAGTGGCAGTCTTGGCTTAGTTATATCACTCAAAACTCGTTCCCGTTTATCTCATTTGATAAAGAGGGAATCGTTAATGTTTTCATTAAGACAGTATTGCCTTGATTTTGTAATATTTACAATGATAGACAGTAAATTTCACTTTTCACGCACATTTACTTCTAACCTTTCCTTTTGAACCAGAAACAGAAATGATATACGTTTAAAACACATGACATCATCCACCCTTGTCAAATGCAATAGCATGATCATTTCATTTGTAATGCCTTCTTATCCCAACTTTACTTTGTTTCTTTGCTACATTAGCGAACACTGAACTACTGCTCGTACTCTAGATATGACAGTCAACCACAAAATTCCCTAAACCAGATAACATTAAACATAATCCAAAAAATCATGTGTCAATTCACGAGTTTGCTCACAGAGCACTTTGATTTTTTTTTTATATGATGTATGCCTGTATCCACGGCAGGGAGCTAGCGCTTTTCGTCCAAATTTGATAACAGTTCTTGAATTCTTGTTAACAAATAGAGAAGCTTTGACTGTGCTCTGTTCTGTTATAAAGCACGCAGGAAGCGGCTAGAGCACGAAAGAAGTGTAGGGAGAAACACGAGACGTAATCAAGATCGCTCGGGATGACAGTGTCGTAAAACTCGGCTGCAGTTACTGATGTGGCCTTCCGCTCGAAGCATCGGAAAGGATATCAGAGCAAGTTATTTATTTTTCACTCGAAGGGCGGCCGATGTAGCTTCTGAGGCTTGCTTCACTGCGATGACCAGAGATCGCATGATGAACTAGCCGCGATGGACCTCGGCATGATCGCAGTCGCTCTGACGCTGTCATGATTAGAATGAATTTTGACAGTTAGGCCAGTTTGGTTATTTTTTTCATCATTCCTGTTTTGTTCTGCTATGTTTTTTAACATAAAACTATATATACTATACGAGTGTTAGCTGTGTTTGATTTTTATTACCTTACGTAAGCTCGCAATCTGGCTGAGAGTGAAAACCTTTAAAACTCGGACTGTCCATTTTGTTTTCTCTTTGAAGATTTTCGTCTGTGCTCTCGTTTTAATAACGTAAATTACGGCGCCTGACATGTTTACAAACCTTGGTTTGGTTCTCCTGTTGCTACTTGCCAGCTCGCTTGTTCCGAAATTTCCTCTAGTGTCTTACATCAACTTCAAACTTGAAGCGTTTTCTTAATCAAAAAAATTACAAGAATTGGTTCAGAGCTTGTCCAAGATGGCAGCGAGTGCGTATTTTCCTGTTTGGAAATCACTTCGTGTTTTTCGTATAACCTGGCTGTATTTCCTGATAAGTGGGGACAATTTTTGTGTGAACTGCTTCCGTCCGATAAGTACAGGGAATACGATGAAGAATCCCATATTCCATCATTTCAGTAAAACTGGAAGTGCAATCTTGTTTCAGTTTAAGCTATACGTCCCCTCCCAATTTAAGTAAATCAATTGGGGCTGCTGCTAATAGGAAAGTACATGACTGAAAGTGTCATTTGACAGCTGTGATTTCGTATGATAACTTCACTCGAGAGAATATAAACTGTAACTCTCTTGTCTCAGTGACATGGACCTAGTCATAGAAATAGTAGTCCTTTTGTTAGAAAGAAAACTTAGCTTGTCAATCTTAAATATCTCGATTTTGTTAAAAACGAAGAAGACTCCGACACGCCGAGCGTAGAAGGGGGAGGGGAGTTAGGTCACTTTGCTCTAACGTTTTCTTTTTCTTCTTCTTCATAATTCATACTGATACGCCAACTTCTTTTAGCCACATAAACTCTGTTATTATTTCTTTTAATGTTCAGGTCCATTTGTTGGACTTCATTGCGAGGTTTTTCCCGGGGTAATGGCATGTAGTGGTTGGACCCGGATGGAGGAAGCCATTCCAATGCATTTCAGGCCTACTGTGACATGACGTCAACCAATGGAGGATGGACCATGTGTTACACTACCGATGAATATGTCAGACCTGAGAGTGAGGTCACATACAACGCCCAGTTTCCTTATGGAAGTGACGGCTACAGAACCGATTGCAACAACATCCCAGTAAGTTTGTTAGTTGATACTAATGATCATGTCACAGACATTCCTTTTTGCGAGATTTTAATATAAAGCACATTACTCCATTATCATCCTTGGGCACATGCAATTGAATATAGCAGTTTCGTGAAAGGTTGTCGGAAAAAAAGTATAAAAGTGCACGTGATAACTCCGAAAGATATTGTGAGTAGGCGACCTCAAGATTTCAGGAAATCTGAGAAAACGTCATTCTAAGAACGAGATACAGTGGATTTGATTGATTAACGGATTTATTTCGCTTAGTGAAGTAAAAGGAGTTCTGGATACTCAGATTATCCTTTAACATTGTCGCTTGCACTTTTGCTTCATTCTCAAGCAAACTTTCTCGAAACAGCTGTATGTAAATAACTCAATGTGACCACCTTGCTTCTAGGACTGCACAAAAAAGCCGTCTATAACAAGTACCTGTTTGTTCGTTGATGTTAATGTTGTTCAAATTTATTGCTAAGTTCCTCTATCTCTTTTAAATTACGTTTTAGACAGACTGACTCCTCCATTCTGTATTGATTCTCCTTAATCTGCTTTCTACCAGAATTATTAAGTTTATTATTTCATTATGATTATTTCAGTTCACAGAAATCATCTTTGAGGATCACAAAACTGGAAAGAAGATTAACTTCAAGTCCCGAAACAATCAAGCTATTAAGGCCTCCCTCAATCACGGAAAATCTGCATACACCTATGGGTTGTGGGACGGTGTGGGGGCTGATCCAGCTTATTCCTACCAGCTTCTGATTTTTGATGATCCGTTCTACAAGGGCTTCCTGATTTCTGCCTACACAGGGGGTTGTTTTATGACATGCACCTATTGGTGCTCCGATGTTAGTGCGTCATTCATCCGCACTGCGTTCACTAATTCATATGGACAGAAGGGTGGCGTAGCATTTGGTGAAAAAGGTCAGGAAGTCCATGACAAAAGGCGCATAAGTATCGGTCTACGATAGGTTTTCTCCTTTCTTGGTTCCATGGTAAACACCAAGGCAGACCTAGATATAGCATGCATTTATTTCAAATGTTTTCTGGGCGTTCAATCAGTAAAAGTTTGCTTGTTGGTACTAGTAATATCCTCTTATTTCTTCTCTCCTCGACAACAAGTTATTCATCGTCATTGGTCATAATAATTGGGTTAAGAGATTCGTCGCTGCTTTTCTTTTGGAGATTGCTTACTTTTGAAGTACAGAGGAACGGCCGTCGTCACATTTTATAACGTTAACCCTCAACTCCAAAATGTAGCGGTGATCAGCATGTAAAATCTCGATGTAACACGAAAGTCTGAACACTTAAACAAGTGTTAAGTTAGAATAACTATGGACTTCATGTATTTGTATGAATGTGTCAATACGCCGCCACCATCTCTTAATATAGAAGTAATGGTTATTGAACTGAATGACGCGCAATTTGGTCTGAAATCATACGCTTGATTTCAAATCAGACGAACGTGCTGCGCATGTTTGATTTTAAATCACAAGAATCATTACGATTTCAGTCCAAAGTTGCAATAAACGAAGTTCAATTACTACTTTATCACATCTATTTTGAATTTCAAACTTCAGTCACTCAATACAAGAATTTTTTCCGGCTGTACAGGTATTTTATTGATCCAGTGTAATGAGTTGGTTTGTAAAAAGTTGCAAAATTTGTCTCTCATTTTCCTACAATTTGATTGATTTCTTCAAACAAGCCTTGAAATTTGTTTGGTTGCTGTGTTTTAGTAAAGCTGTCTCATTGGCTGAGAAAAATATGCGACTAAGAACATAATATGGTGCGATTTGCGATCAAATCGCATCGATGAGAGCCAGTCAGTTTGCAGGGATCACGGTCAAGTGATTTCAATATGGATGTAGTAAAACCGCATGTCCGGGCCGGACATGCAGTTTTAGCCTTCCAAACAACGTCTTTATCGATCGGGCGGAGAACGTCACAAACTGCTAGCACAACAACCTTCCATTTGGGATTAGGAACTCGTAACAAGCCGTAATAACCTGCAAAACACATCAAAGATTACCCAGCGAAGCGAAATTCGAAACAGGAACTATGTAAACTTACCATATGATAAAAGGAGGGAAATAATAGAGATAAATCACAATTTCAGAGCAAACTAAATTCACTACGGGCGACTGAAAAGAAATGAAAATTTAAAGAACAAGCTACTGAGGCTTCATGTTCTTACGAATCTATAGAAAAACGAAAAAACTGAGGAATGGACTTAAGGACTTGTTGAGGAATAGCCTCGACACTGTATATTATTCTGTAAGGAGGTTGTGAAAGGAAAATTCTTGAGATAACTGTATAGAGATCCTTTCTTACTTTGCGAATCATACCAGGTAAGCGAGATGAGGTCGGCAAGATTTTGATGTTTGGGTATTCTAAATCTGAGTACGTACTGTAAAAACATTTTGCTGGGTTTTATCAACGAGTTCATAATGGATTTTGGTCACAGTGGAGAATTTCTAAAGCTGACTGTTTGAATGTTTGCTCGCCGTCATAACGCTCTAAAAACTCGAGGTTGGTAGTGAAGGTTATACGTTGAGAGCGTGGTAATACTTAAATACCTACAGCTTTACGGCAGTTCTTTCCTTTAAATCCTGGTGTGCATGTGCACTTATAATCGTCATCGACACGCTTGGCCACACAAGTTGAACCGTTCCGGCAAGGATTGCTGGAGCAAGGGTTTTGTGTAGAGGACACTAAGTTATACGAAGTAGCATAGAGCCATGTATTAGTAGCATGAAACAACATCATGGACTCATTATTTATTAAACAAGTCTATCATTTGATGGTCTGTGACTGGTAGAAACTAAAGTTAGGCAAAACTGATAAAGGAACTGAATTACACGGAATGCAAAATTAGGGAAGGTGGGCGGGTGAAATTAGCACGGAACTATATAATTATTTATTTTGTCAAGCTTGAATTCAAATAAGATATAATACGCGGAAAACATTTCTTTCCATCTTTGATCTCAGTATTCCCAAATCTTTGTCAAATACAGCCAGCACAAATACATTTGATCTTACCGGAACACTGAAGTGATTATAACTGAATTAGATTGTAGATCAATTTATCCAAGTTGTGGATCAACATTTGTTCCCGGGAAACCGAGCTCGATATAGGTGACTCGAGCTCGAGAGCCTACCCGAGGCATTTTCCTTTGTATGTTAAAGTGTATTTGTTTCCTATATTTGCCTCATCCTACACGGAAGGACAAGCCTTGGCTGTAACAGAATGATTTTAGAATTTCTGCCACAAAGTTTTAACCGAGCGCAGCAATAAATATCCTTCGAGTTAACTACTTTTATCAAAGTATAAAGCAATGGTAGTGGAGAGCATTTACGTGTCAGTGATATTCCATTGTTCATTCTCGCATCGCTCATTGCAGCAGAAGCGATAAGTTATTCAAAATTATCTCAAGTTGAAAGTGGCTGAATTTTGTTTTGCTTTCTTTTTGTTTTTTATCTTTTTTTGGGGGGGGAGTAGTATCTAATTGTTTTTTAATTAAACTGCTAGTGATAACATTTCACTTGAAAATTGTAAATGAAAGAACATCATTTGCCTTTGATGATATCATTTGTTTACTTACTCCCTGAAACACAAGACTATCCAACCAAACAAATATAATGTTACGCTTTCAAGATCTTTTAAAGTAGCCGCTGAATCTTTTGCAAACTGAAATGAGATGAGGGTGATATCCTCTTAAGTGTGTATTTCATCCCGTGTAATTTAGCCAAAGTGAACCGGTTTGTTTATGTTACATGTATCTATGACGCTTATGTTTAGAGCGAAAGCGTAAGCCAATATTTGCTCGGCTCTTTCTCAGCTTTTCAAACCGAGAAAGCTGGTTTGATGCCTTCTCCCGAAAGCTAGAATACAATTCATCAAAGTGTTTTTTTTTTTATTTGATTTGTGCGTTCGAAATCAATTTTTAAGCTCGTATAGCAAAACATTTGGTAATCGCGAGATAGAGGTCCTTTAAAGTTGGACGCTTCTGGTAATTTAGTTGTCGCTAATTTTAAACTTAAACATTAATGTTGCAGAGCTTTCTATGAATTCATTTATTCTTAAATCAATCTTCCACTGTTTGCCCGTTTGTCCACTCTATTTGAAAAGATCTCATAGACAAAACTGTTGATTATGTTTGGAAGGTGTCAACTGCTCTACAAAAATAAATGTCAGAAGTACGAAAGACAAGCGACCACAGCTATTCATTATACGTCAGAGAGTTACTGATTAGCTGCAGGACATTATTTCATCTTTTCAGAATTAGACTCAAGGGGAGAGCTTAGAGCTGTAAGAATGAAACTGCCAATTACTATTATCAATTATTGAAAATATTTTAAAAGTAAGGTAAGGAAAGCTGTCAATGTTCACCTGATGTCGCCAATTCAACCTCTCGTTTGCAGGTGCTATCTCTTTGCTATTCGCTTTATAATTTGTCATTACAAGTACAGTATATACTTTGCCTTGGCCAATAGAAATGCATTACTTGAAAAAATAAAAATCAAACTGTAAGTCATTAACTTCCAGAAGCGACTATTAAGTTCCTATATTGATTACTGCTCTTCGATAGTCCTGCGGATGAATAATTTGCTGAAGCTTGGAAAATGACACACAGCCTCTCACAACGTAGAAGCTGTCTTTTTACGATGATGACCTTTATCTTGTCTGGACTGGCCATGACACAAGGTGCTTTCGTTTTAATATTTTATCGATAAATTCTTAATTTCTCTTGATGATATGACGACGACGACGTGGATGATGATGTAGATTACGAGGAGATAACTTCCTTATTAATTCACAACTTGTCCATAGTTTTCCTCTCAAAGCTTCGAACAATCGAGATGTACATTAAAAACCAGCGGACTTTTAAGAATTACTGGGGCTAATATTTACTTGGAGACTCCTCATACCAAAGAAACCTTTTAATGGAAGATTTTTGACGGGTTTTTCGTTTACATGAACCGTTTACGAAATTTTTAACAAGAACAAAACTATTCTCCCAATGCTGCAATATAGCAGGGATAAATTCGCGTCGGTGCGGAAGTCGCCTCGCTGCCCCATGAACACCCTCGTGATGACTGGTTACCTGATTATTACATATGAACGAAGTTATGTTTGATTCGAACATGACCATGTTAGATTGTCGGATTTTGTAGTTTCAGTGTTTGGTCCGTAAGCATCGATAGGGACTATATTATTATTTATTTTCTCAAGCTTGAATTCAACTGCACAAGTTTCTTTAATAGTCTTTGTATTATGCGTTCGTGCATCATTTTATTGCCGACAGCTTTCATGGGAAAACTAATACTTGTTTCTGAATTCTAATACTTATTCGGTTTGCGCAAGGCCGTGGTTTATAAGGAAACAGTTCAATAATTCATTTAGATAGGGCCACGGGTACTTGATTTTGAAACTTTCATTTCAATATTGCGGAAATAGCGTATACGTTTGTCTGTCAACAGTTCAGTTATTAAGTTCCGTGCCACAACACCGCTGAATTCGCGACTACAAGAAATGGATCTGATTGTAACAATGATAGTAATATATATCTTGATAATTTGTGAAGCTATGCGCTATTTTTGTTTTTTTGAACGAAGTTATGTTTTATTCGAGGATGAATAAGTTATGTTATCGAATTTTGTAGTTTCAATGTTTGGTCCGTAAGCATCGATAAGGACTGTTTTGAAGTATTTAACACACACTTTGATTATTCAGCTTGAATCTTCAGTTCTAGAAGAAACCCATAAATAGATTTGTTTTTTAAAATATTGAAAATTACTGCAAATGAAGATCAGACCATGCACGCAAAAGTCAAATATTTACGAGTCGCACCCTCTTGGTTTTTATCGCTGCTTCTTTTTTTCTTCTTTTTCTTTCCCATTTTTTCTTCTTAGCAAAACTGACTCTCATTGAAAATAGTGATGAGTGGTTACCTGATTACTACATATG